GTCGTGAATTAGCAGAAGTTAGAATTCATGGGCCATTGGATCGAGTCCCAGTGGCTTAATGGTATACGAGCTCGCCTTGTAACCAGAAGGTCCTGGGTTCGAATCCCAGTGGGTGCGTACTAATGAAGAGTCCCAAACTATGACGAAACAGCTGTCCAGTACTCCCAGGTGTTTTTCCAATGGTTCTCTAACTAATGTCAGCTCATGATGAAAATCCTGTAACCAATCAAATCCCTACAAACTAACACTTGAATAAATTGTCCATAGAGTCCAGATTTTCTAGAGTCTTCTTGTAATCTATCTCGTTGTTGTCTACAGTCTGCAGCATGATTATTATACCTCTTTTCGGTTTAAAGTATGCAGATCGAAACTGACAAAATTCAAGGTTTTCTGAACATCATTGAGAGAAACTCCTAGTGCGATTGGCATGAAATTCGCCCCTATCAAATTTAAGATTATGATGCAAGACCGGCCTACACCGACTCCTAGCTAAGGGATAAAGAGTGAAATAGTTGGCCTTGTTGATCACTTCACTATCTGGGAAGTTGTATCAGCCCTAATAGACTGATCGGCTGGACACAAAAGACTAACTTGACATATGCAAACTTACGCGACTATCGGTTAAAAGAAGCTTGTACTAAACAGCACCAGTTCGCTCTGTTTTTCTTTATGTCTGAGAGACTTGGCTGTTGACAGAGAAAGGTATAAAAACACATGCTGTATTTTGATTATACCTGTCTGAGTTGTATCCCTCATGTTATGTCGTATAATACGACCAGTAGTAATTAGGTTGAATGTAAAGTGATAGGTTAACAGGGAAATCGATCGGTGAGATTGAATAGTTGCATCGATTTTGAGATGGTGGCTAGGATTTGTGTTGTACATTGCCAAACCATCGATTCATGAAGTCTCTGACTGTTGGTTTGAGTTACTTAGGAAAGTGTAGACTGCTTCACCATAGTGCTCCTCGAGACTGTTAGTGATTTGATTCAAAATCATTTTCAATGATACAGATCCATTCACTACTTTATTAAATCATCACTATTCACAATGGAAGAATGTTTTTCTCCTGTAAAACTTTCTTTTATTACAGTTTATTCGCATTGTTGCCCTTTTTTCTCGGCGTTTATGTGTGCTTTTCCCAAGTATAGTAGTAAATTGAATGGATGTACTTTTGTCCAGTGTTCTAGGTTATAAAAATTTAATTTAGTCAGTTCACTGTTTCTCCACAGTATGCACCAAGTAAATTTGACCTTTATGTATATTGTGTAATAAATGTACTAGTGAAAAAGCATTGTATTATGACACACTTCATTAACTAGAAACATGTTTTTTGGTTAAACCATTCAAATATTTGTTTCATTTCAACAGTTTTATCCGGCAGCAGCGAATAAGGCGTTAGGGAGGAGGGATCATATGTGTCTACGTTCTGTTTCCCGTGTTAGGTGGCAGGTGTAATAAAATGAACAATATTGAGGTTAGGCATCGGTCGGGTGCTGCGTAAGGAAGGAGGAGGGGAAATCAATCAACGAGGTTGTGAAGTTATACCGACTGCGAGAGATGGTTAGATCATGTGTAACGCATACATTCCTAGCCATCGCCTTCCACGACCGACTGGCAGTGTTAGCTGACTGACATAGGATTAGGTTGGAAAAGAGTTAGCTAGTGGTGGTCAAGTGAAAACATGCCTTCATCAGTCAATGAAACCCACAACAGTTAGTTTAAGCCAGCCAGTTACGTAGGGAGGTGTGGACTTCCTCATTGGTTGTGGTCCACGGGATGGTAAAAACCAGTGGCTGGAGACAATCGATGATATGGCTCGAAATCGGTCTTAATGATGGCTGGCGAAAATGCATTCACTCTACATTCACCATACATATCCAGTAAAACTATTCTTTTTGCGTCATATTTCTGTTTGTTATCTCTCTCTGCGTTTCGAATCTCTCTTTACTATCTTCTCTTGCTTTGTGTGCTACATGAAGGGAATGTGGTAACTGGAACTGCTGCATATCTGTGCAAAGTTCTAGGTTGAAACCAGCCAGTCAGCCAGGGAGAAAACAACCTCAACCTATTATCAAACCTTAAGTGAGTGAGAAGCTTAACTCGCCTAAATGGAGTTTTGAAATGAATGTGAGTGTCAAGTGGACCATTTTTGATAAACAGAATTGGTGCTGTGAGATGAACGAAACGTACGGTTAAGGTGCTTAACGAGACACCCATGAGATACCACAAAAGCTGTTGGTTGGTCTAGACATAAGGATGGTGACCATAGAAGTTGGAAACCGCTGAGCATGTAACAACTCATCTGCCGAATCAATCAACCCTGAAGACGGATGGAGTTTGAGTGTTCGACCTATACCGTAACATTGGTGCAAACAGCGTCTGAGAACAAACAGACTTTGTCCAGGCATGCAGTAGCGAGAACGAATAAGAGGGTCACTGTGACTTGCAGGAAGCCTCAGGTGTAAGCCTGAGTAAATCGACCACAGGCGCAGATCTTAATGGTAGTAGCAAATATTCAGGGTTACATGGATTACATGAGAACAGCAGTTGCTCATGGATCCGACTGTCTTAAAGGACCAAGAAAATCAAGACAGAGACGGGGTGCCTGACACTGCCCGCTTGAGGGCTTTGTTAGTACTGCTGTTAAAGTGTACTGTTGCAACGCAGCCCCATGTAATGAAAGGCAATCAGGCTAATATTCTCAACGGTGATGAGTGCATGTTGGATTTTTGATTCAGTATGAGCACAGCGCAATAAAGCAACAGAAGTCGGAAGCATCGTTGCAAGTTGAAGGGTAACAAATGAAACTAGACAGAAAAAATACGTTTCCAAAACACTTAGTTGCCTGCCACATGCAACACCCTTGATAAACGTCAATAATGTAATCAGAGCCCAATATGTAGCATAAAATAGCACCACTTTATTCTACAGGTTCTCATCAGCTACAGACTACCTGGGATTACAATTGCTATAAAAAAATGCCAGGATTACTATGCTTTGACGAAGTAATTGCAGTTAAATATTTCCAACTGAACTTATGCATCCAGAAAGAGACTGATTGATCAGCCTTTCTCTCTCCCCACTCCCTGTGGTAACTGCATTCTGATTTCTTTTGTACTGATTGCATAAGCATTTACTGATATCTCGGAACATAACGCAACTTTATAAGCTAGTAAGGATACAAATTTTCTGTTTCTTCTGGCATCTCTTCTTCTCCAAATTCCCTGTGCTTTCCACTACCAGAACATTTTATTTAGTAATCAATGCATGTACGTTGACAGAATCATCATGAGCATACTATGTACCACAACAAATTGTTACCATGACAAAACACCCCACTTGTAAACAATATCAGACAGTTTGTAAGAAGAAAAAAACATGTGAACCGACCAAGTGTATCCTGTCTCTGAAAATAGTCTTTACTTCCGACATTTATATGTACATTTTTGACAATAATTTTCAACTTCAACAGATACACGTTCGGTAAACGATAGTATACACTAAATAAAATGTCAGTTTAGACATAACAGTTCACTATTTAATTGGTGGATGGTGACTAGCAGTGGAATCCAGGATGCACATTTCGTCCTGTTTAGGACTCGTCAACTGGATGCACCTGCATTCCACAGTGAGTGATGATGTTCCCACCTAGTTCACTATTGTAATGAGATTGTACTCATTTTACTGGTTGTGTTGATGATGAAAGTAGGGGGTGTACAGTTTCAGTAAAATGAGATACGGTTGAAAATAATGTTTCCATTCGTTGAACTGCTTTGGTTATTCTTTTTCCACAATACATAGAAGAGATAGGTTTTGTAAGGTGTGAATAATCAAAACATGTATACACACTGAGTTGCTGTTTAAAGTGTAGTGTTGTTTTTGGTTGGCAAACATTTTAACGTGTCACGTAACAAGTAGTAAGTACATTAAAGCCTCTTACCGAATTCAAATCTCATTGGTCATTCAGTTCGTGTGTTAAATCTGATTGGCTAATAATAACGCTTAGGGATTCATTAGGTCAGAGAGTAAGTAAATATTAAACGTCCACCTTTTAACCTAGCTGCAACACCCTCTTCCCATCAGTTAACATAATGGATACAAATATGATATGAATTTGTGACTACATAAATGTGCATTTACTGCTTTCTGAATCCATGTGCTTATGAGATTTGACAACGTGAACACATCTGTTATCCCTTCTTTCACTTGATAAAGCAAAATTACTTTATATTGAGGAAAGATGATAGACATGGCATAAATAGAATGAGGTTTTAAAATTCTGCGTTGAGTTCAGTTACAGCAGTAATGAAAATCAAGGAGTACTGAACGACTGTTTCATCCTAGTTTGGGACTCTTCATCAGTAAGAAACCATGACCTCACCGGTGATCAAAACCCAAGACCCTGGGGTTACGATGCAAGCCAGTCAAAATACTGGGACGGGACCTAATGGTTATGAATTCTAAGTTCTAGGAATTCGCTACTTTTAGAACCACCACCAGATAATGTCATCAGTGAGGATTTGTCCTCACACCCGACCTGGTGGAAACCTTTGGTTGTCAAAGGCGCTAAAAATCGTGTATTAATAGAAGTTATAATTCATAGTCATTGAATTCTGTCCCAGTGGCGAAGTGGTCAACGAGCTCTCCTCGTAACCGCAAGGGTCTGGATGCGTACTGATGAAGAGTTCCGGGCTAGAACGAAACGGATCTCCAATGCTTTCTGCTCTTTATTTATTCTCCTACTGATTTCAATCCATTATCAAACTCGCAACCAATCAAATCCATAGAAACTGACACTTGGAAATTCTGTTCTGCTATTACCTTAACTAAGTTATTAGAATTAGATAACAGAAGGCATGTGAAATCAATCCTGTTTCATTTTCCACTCATTGTAAAATAAACATTTGTAATAATAATAATAATAATAATAATAATAATACGAATTACACAAATACCCTTCATCTTCTGTAAATCATTAAAGTAATCACTTAACATACCTGCCACCAATTAGGATCTTGATCATCAACTAATTCCAATACATCTCCAGATCTGAACGATAGACCAACATCACCAGCAGGTAGAAGAGTATCTTTGCTTGCATCATAATCGAACAGACATCGAATATAACGCTAAACGAAGGGAGAAATCGTCGAAAATAAAATCATATGGGTAACGTTGTTAAATGGAGAAAACTAGTATATCATGTTTTTGCAGTTAATAGTGTTAATTCAAAGTATACACACGCACACACAACATAACTGTCGAATAAGTGAATTATTATTTACAGGATTTCATCATGAGGTGACATCAGTTAGAGAACCATTGGAAAACCAGCTGGACAGCTGTTTTGATCTGGTTTGGGACTCTTCATCAGTACGCACCCAGGACCTTCTGGATACAAGGCGAGTTTGTAGACTAATAAGCCACCGGGACCCGACCCAATAGCCCATGAATTACAGCTTCTGTCAATTCACAACATAGTGCGACCACTTAACAGTATCTTCGATGAATAACTGTCCTCAACTTCGATCTGCTGTGCCCTACTGATCACGGCTTAATGGTCTACGAGCTCGCCTTGAAACAGGAAGGGCCTGGATACGAACCCTGGCGGTGGGGGCATACTGTGACGTGTGTCAGACTAGGAGGAAACAGCTGTCCAGTACTCCCAGGTGGTCTTCCAATGGTTCTCTAAGTGATATCAGCTAATGATGAAATCAAAGAAAAATCCTACAAACCAATGCTTGAAAACATTTTTTAATTTACCAGATTTATTAGCAAATTACACATAGTCAAAATTAAAGCAACTAAGCTCAATGGTTGGAGGTGATCAGCAGGGTGCCCTTGACCTAGATTTCGTGCTTGTTGATCACTCAGCAGCAAGGTGTATCTGAAATTTTAAAGGAATTCATTGCCCTTCTGAGATTCGGACTCACATCACCCAGTGCTGCAATCAAAGACGCTACCACTGAGCTATTTGAGCTCATAATTGACCTCCTACAGGACTCTAATGGATATATTGATTGGTTATTCTTTAATGACCAATCATTGATTCTTAGGGGACTTAACAGTTAGTTGTTTCTACTACTCCTTAGAGTTTACAATGGTTCTCTCTCTTTGATTAATGTCTGTTTGTTGTGTAATCCACCCAAAATTCATTTTCTCTCCTCCTCCTTCTATCATAAACAGAATAAGTGAGTTGATGTAAATTGATACGTATTTAATTGTTGTATAGAATAAAGGATTGAATTGTAACAAGATTTAAAAATGATTGTAGTAAATTTATTTGACTGCTACTACCAAGTGAAGTAAAAAAAAAAACGCGTGTCACAATCATAAATAGACAAACATTTCATTCTCCTTCTCTCTGCCAAAAATAATTTTATACAAACTCTTAGATGACTCAGATATCTTCAATTAAAAAAGAAAAATATTTTTCTTCTTGATGCATGCCGTATAGTCATTTATACAATAGCATAAATGCACATACATAACAACAACAACAACAACAACAATTGTGATGGTAATAACGTTTGTCTATACTTTTTAAGACTAATTTAAACACAGACACAATTGGATAGCATTGAGACAATAAGGAAATGATAATTAGACAACGAATGCCGACATTTATACACCCCTATTCACAAATCAAATATCTTGCACATGCATGCATGAATGCATAGAGTAAACAAAGCTATGTCAAGCAAAAAAATAATAATAATTAACGGTGTAAAGCTCTGTAACATCGCATTTCCTAGTCTGAATGAAATGTGATATATATGCAGTCTAGCTGAACAGATAGAAACCGTTGATTGTTTGAAAACTATGGAAATTATTGTTTACGGTTCTGTTTGATTTTGCGCAATCTATACACCGGAGAATGAAAGCTCAGAGAACGCTTTTAATTGTAAATCATCCACCTGAGCTACAAATCTTCTCTATTATTTGAAAGTAGACTATTTTGATCAATGGTCGTCATAACGACTGCATAAGACCCACTGAAAAGTTGTCTCTTAGTCGTTAGTTTCATATTTTAAATTTAAAATCGATTTCAGTAATTATTGTTATTATTATGTTATGTTATGCTTCAACAGCATATCTTCGTTTCATCTTCTTCTCTGTAGTCTTATTTAGAAGGCTCTCAACGAGTGTTCAATAGCTTCCATTCCATTCTAACAAAATCTCTTCTATGTCATCCTTGGAACTACGCCTAACTCATAGTTTCTGATTCGGGTTCCACTCGAGCGAAGGCCTAACGTGCGATGTTATTCAATGATCTTCTCAGCGTGTATCTAATCCCTCTTCATTTATTGTTGGGTGATGGGTTATTGGTTGGTGTTCGTTGTCAGAGATCTTCGTTGCTAAACCTTTCTGACCAGCCATCTGGTCTTCAGTATAGTACCGACGAAGGCAGTTCTTGATGAAAGTTTTTGCAGCCTTTTGGAAATGTTTTCGGTAACGTGTGAAGCAAGTCTCTACACCATATAGAAGAACTGATCTGAAATTAGTGTTGAACATCCAAATTTTGTTCTTTATGATGAATGTGGCGGATTTCCAGAGTGATTGCAGATCGGTGAAGGTTTGTCTTGCTTTTTCGATCCTGCTCTAGACTTACGTTTCATGTTTTATTAGTACTCACCACCAAGAAGTATCTATTGCCAAATAGCTCAATAGTAGTGTTACTGACTGTTGCACAGGACGACTGGGGTCAGAATATCTGAGAGGGTGGGGAGTGTCAGTTCACTCAAGCGTGCAAACATGCTATGCTGATCGCTTCTAATCCACTGGTATAAATCAGAAGTTTACTTCACCAACTCCAGTAATACGTCGTGTAAGTATTACTGTCGACAACTCAGTTGAACCAAAATAATACGAAATATTTCATACATTTGGTTCCCTTGATAAATTTCGATAAAGAATGGAAGACGAAATTTACAGTATAGAATGACATCATTCTATTTCACAGGTTCTCATCAGCTGCACACTACCCGAAATTACAATGGTTATATAGACGAAATATCTCTGAAAGCCTATAGGTCAGTAAGCCGATTGTACTGAGTATCGAATCCGACATACTACATACATAAACACATAGAGAAACTAACTCCTGTAATTATTTAATTGAATTTTAGATTTTCCCGTCGATTGATTGAACCGAAGTGCTCGGTCTCAGGTTGAAATGTCGTCTTCTTGTGCAGATACTTCTACGATGTCTGAGCATTTAATTAGTATTTAATTGGTAGATGGTGACTAGCAGTGGAATCCAGGATGCGCATTTCGTCCTCCTGTAATGTTCAGCAATGGTTTCTTTAATCTTAAAATAGCTACATTTCGTCGGCTAATCAATCTCTACCAGGATCGATAAATTAAATCATTGAGCTAAGGAAGAAGAATTATTATAATTTGATTGGACAACCTTGAAGCCCGACCTTGTGCGACCAATTTAATTAGTTATCTGTTAGCTTAACTGTTTGTAGTTGGTAATACTTTTACATATATAACGTATTTTCACATAATAAAGTCTATTTTTCTTACCGTTTCGAACCAGTCTGTCTTCTACCTTTATTTGACCGGTAAAGTTCTAGGAGGGGGGATGGTAGAAGTGATTGGAAATCAGTGTATGGTGCTGAGTCTCCAGGGGTTAGGGTATCGAACACTACTCTCAGCATAACTATTATAAGCGCCAGTCGCATCAACTCATATTAATTCTCAATAACGTTATCCAAGCTCAACAGCAGTATGCATATCGTTCACATCAAGTAAAAGGCTAAGAAATGATTGGATGACACAGATACTGAAATCATATTAGCTGGAGTGGGATACACTGACCCATGCCACAATAGATGTGAATGTACTACCGATGAAGAAATGTCTAACATGATGATAAAAATAGGATGACAATTTCATTCAACCATACAATACGAAAGTAAATCAGTTAGACTACTTACTGATAAACGATCTGATTATTTATCAGTAATATAGTCATTTGATACACATAGTAATGAAACAAAAAACAACCACAACATCAGAAGATACGATTGAGGGATATCAGCAAAATAATATTGAATTTTAGACTGAATACTACCCATGCATACAACCAGCACATATCAACAAGGAAGATGACATATATACACTTTTGCATGATTTACAATTCAAATGAGTCGAAAAATTTTCTGTGAAACTAAGAGAGAGATGATCAACTCTATTTGATGTGCACATCTAAGATACAACTGTAATAAAAATCCAGTATATATTATATGTAAGCAAAAATAAAATATAAAATAAGAAACTGAACGAATTATATTCATAGATTAGCATAAATGCAGATGATAGATACCTTGTCGGATTAATGAAATGTACTGTATGCATGCATGTATGTATGTATGCATGTACTGCTGATTATCTGTTTACCATTCTATCATATTCACCGATCTTTTGGATAACAACTAGTGACCATAAAACTCACTCTGTATTACTTTCATTAATTCTAAGTGGAATTATATCTCGTAGATTTTACTACTTCATTAGAGGAGGTATTAACCTTTTAAAAGTAATAATAATAATAATAATTTCCTTTAATTCCTAGAGGAACATAGGGCTTCAGCCGTGCGTCTCCATTGCGCTTGGTTCTCTGCTCCAAGTCTGACCACATGCTCTCATCTCCTCTTCACATGACCTTCTCCAAGTCACCCTTGCACTGACGACCAACTCGCCGCTTCCCATTCGGTCGTTTTCCACTCGAGCAATGGCTTGTCCAGTGATGTCACTTGATGGTTTCCTCAGAGTATGGCCAATCCATCTCCATTTCTTCCTGCAGATTTGTTTCACAATCGGTTCCTGCTGTGTTAGTTCGCTCATTGCCAGATATCCCTGTTGCTGATCTTTTCTGGTCATCTGATCTTGAGTGGTATTGAGCGAAGACAACTGTTAATGAAGGTCTGCAGTTTGTTTGAGGTGCTATTTATGACGCGCAGTGCAAGTCTCTGATCCGTATAGTAGCACTGACTGACTTCACATTGGAGTTGAAAATCCGGATCTTATTTTTGATGCTGAGTACTGTTGACCTCCACACAGACTTGAGAGTAATGAAAGCTTGTCTTGCTTTTCCGAATCTTGCTTTGATATCCTTGTC